CTACAGAACGATGCGTCGATGTTTATTCGTCGTATCCGCGTGTGCACCGACAGATTGCATTCACCAGAAATGAAGGATGAATTCTACAAGGACCTCTCTACTGCTCCAAAGTGCTCGGTCAACGAACATTGTGGTAGTCACTGGAGACCTCAATGCTCAAGTGAGATCCCTGGACGAATCAGAGAGGTTACTTGTCGGTTCGCATGCAATCCCAGCCAACATGACTGACAACGGAGAACGCCTACTCCAACTTTGTGCTGACCACGGACTGTTTCTGTCAAGCAAACTTCTGGCACAAAAAATGCCACCGTCTTACATGGAGACCGCCAACCGCTTCACAGCGCTGGACTCAAATCGACCACATTGTCATCAGCCACCGCTAGCGACGATCCATTGAAGACTGCCGCTCCTACCGGTCAAAAACCGTGAACACGGATCATGCTCTGCTACGAGCGAGATTCTCTCTACACATAGTAAACAAGCGCAGAAAAGCCACCAAAAACGGATGCCCAAGATACAATGTCAGCAATGGTTGCAAATCGGCCTTTCAAGCGGAACTATCAGATCGTCTCTCGGCACAACCATCGGCCGGAGGATTCAGTGGGTACGGGACGGCAATCAAGGAAGCGATCAAAATGTCAATCGAAACCACAGCAAATTCTGACTCACGATCAAATAAAAAACGATGGATCTCCCCGTCTTCGGTTGCCCTGCTGGACGCTCGCAAAGCCATTGCTTCGGATTCAAACTACGACAAAGCACGCAAATCCCTTACACGCCAGCTCATCGAGAGTCTGAGGAGTGACCGCGAGAAGGGGTGGATAGGAAAGTGTAGAGAGATGGGGAAGGCTGCGACTATCGATAACAGTCGCAATCTTTTCCGATTAATTAGGAATACAGGACCAAGGAAAGCGGGCGTGAGGTAATTAAGGAGTCCGACGGAACACTGATCCATATTCAGCAACGCCGTCTAGATCGATGGGCAGAACATTGTAAGGCTCAGTTCACCTGGCCGTCGTCAGCACAAGACCTCTCTACACCTTCTTCAACTGTGCAAATACTGCCAGTTGACATCAGTCCTCCATCTGAAATGGAGGTTACCCGGGAAATGTCACCTCAAACGGCATAAGGCTTCCGGTCCCGACGGGCTGTCCGCATCAGTTTTTAAGGATGGAGGTCTAGCCTTGGTTTTGGAGTTAACAAAACTCCT